TGTCACTAGTTCTTGGAGCTGATCTTGTGACTGCCAACAGTACGCTGTCATCCGCATATTTGATGTTCTTGATGTTCTTCCAGCTGCTTACACACCCTTTAGGTGAAGGGTCTTCCTCATGATTAGTTCGCGATGCGGATTAAGTCAATCGGGTGACATTACACACCCTTGCCTGATGTCTCATCTTTTAATTTTTCTGTTGCTTCTTGTCTTCAATATAGGTTTTCTAACAATTTTGCATCTCTCCCATCTACTCCTATTCTGATAAGCATATCTAATAGTTGGTTGTGTGTGACTGGCGAATACTTTTTCTTAGTCTACGAAACACACATCTTTTTGTACCTCGATCATTTTCTCTGTTAAAATTCTTAGCACAAAAATGATATTTCTCGTAACTTTATTTCTGTTAAATCCAATATTGTTCAACTAATTTTATCTTAGAATTTTACCTTACAATTATTTTTGTCAGTTGGCTCATGATGCTGATTGTCCAATACTTATTACATTCTAGCATTCCTTGGATCTTGTGTAAGGCAATGGGTATTGATTGACACATTTCCTGTAGTGTAGATCGCTTTGGCAATCGCTTTCATGATTTTTATGTCAGATTCATTTAGTGCCTCCAGTATTTCTGCTGCAAATTTCATAATGTCTGGCTCCTCATCATTTTGTAAGTTTCAAGGTTCTTGATTTCTAATATATTCGTTCCACTTATCTTTTCCTTTGTTTAGTTGCTTGTGCTTTCTCCTACTTTATCGTACATCTTTTGTTGGTTAACTCTTTCTAACTATTCATCCATTCCTCTTTTGCTTATGCACATTTTCCATGTATTTTCCTATTAGGTTCCCTATACTTCTCATCTTTATCTTTGTATGTTCTCCTTCCATCCATTAATGCATAGCTTTCGCCTGTCAACCATGGCTTGTTGTTCTTCCTTTCTTTGGTTGGTATTACTTCTTCATTCCCTTTTCAATGGCTTCTTGAAATGCTGTCCACTGCCGTTGTGCGGTCCTTCAGTCTGGTCTTCCTCTTTTAATGCCTCATATCTATTCGTAAACACTGCGTTGATTTTTTTTTCATTCCTCAACTCAGTTTATTTTTTTTTTCCCATTTCTTTTTCTAGGGCTTCTAATTCTAAATTTCACTCTTGCTACTACTGGATTATGATCGCCTTCTCCATCTGCCCCTGGACATGTCTTCACATGTGGGATTGCATTTATAAATCTTCTGTTGATTGTTATGCAGTCCATCTCCAGGGCTTTTCTAGGTGTATTTTCATTATGATTTGACCGTTTTTTTTTCACACCATTCTATGCATCCTGTGCTCCTTTCGTTTGTTACATTAGTCCTTACTGTCCAACAATGTCTTCAAAACTCCCCTTTGAGCTGTGTCCCCTCCTGAGTATATTAAATGACTTTCTACACATCCGGCTATCTGATTTCTCCGGGACCTAGTATGCTAAGTGTAATTCTCTTTCTTTCTCTTTAAATTTTTGTGTATGTTTATATATATTACACACATACGCACACACATTCCCAAATGTGCATATTCTCTAACACCTTGGTGTCCATGTCGGCGAGGCCTACGAAAGTTTGTTTTCCCCCTCACCCACCTGCTCCCTCCTCCTCAGCGAGCGTCAAGGAGTTCCACCTGGGGGCGTCTGACATCAAGGAGGAGGGCAACTGGACCTACCTGTCGGGCCATCCAGCCCCGTCGACCCGAGGGGCTGGATGGCTGGCGAGCCCAACGACGGCGCCCACGATCAGAACTGCCTCAATTTCTGCTTCCAGGGCTGCACGGCGTCCTACCCGCCCCTCAACGACCAGTACTGCCACCGTGAGAAGAACTTCGTGTGCGAGTTCTTCGTCGCTTAGGAATGGGGGACACCCCACGCGCTCTGTCAGCACCTGTGGTTTGTCAGCTCCCTCGTCCTGTCGACACTTGTGGGCTGTCAGCTCCTTCTTTCTGTCAGCTCCCTCGTTCTGTCAGCACCTGTTGTCTGTAAGCTCTCTCGTTCTGCCAGCTCCCTCGTCAGCTGAATTGACGATAGAGCTGGCGAAGAAAGAACAAACTATGTTGACACTTTTGTGCATATGTACGTACAGCTGTTTCTATGAGCATTCTGAAATGCCACTTCTTTGTATCATTAATCTGAAGGATCATAATTTCTGTCGGCACGTAGATGTAATATATAAATTCAAAGAGATCTTTTGAGAATTCTTTCCTTCATTCTTTTATGAACAAAGTAACGAAACAAAAGAAATTGTTGGTCAGAATAAGTAGCTGATATGGAACACAAGTGATAATATTCATAACAATAATCATACTACTAATAATTATTATTATCTCATTGATAATAATGCGGATAATGATGACAAATATAATAAGGATAAGAACAATAATAATAACATCAATGATGATAATAATAGCAATATTAATAATAATGATAGTAATAATGATAATGTTGATAATATTAATAATATTACCATTGATGATAATGATAAGGATGGAAATAATGATAAATGAATAAAGTATAAGTAAATGATATATATATATATTAATAGTAATAATACTAATGAATTTAATAATGATAATGATAGTTATATCTAGAGAAATAATAATGAAAATGTTAATAATGATAATGATAACAATAATGATAATTATAATAATAATGATAACAATATTGATAATACGATAAGAACAATGATAATAATGATAATCATTATGATGATACTAATAATGATAATGATACTGATACTGATAATAACAATGAGGATAATAACAATGATAATAATGATAATAATAATAATCATGATAATAATAATGATAATGATAATAATTATTGTAATAATAATGATGATGATAATAATAATAACAACAACAATAATGGTGATAATATAATAATAATAATAATAATGATAATAACAATATAATATTAAAGATAATAATAATAATAATAATAACAACTATAATGTTAATAATAAAAGTGATGATAATAATGATAATGATAACAATGACTATAACAATAATAGTAGTAGCAGTAGTTGTAACAATAATATTAAATAATTGCAGTAATAATGATAATAGTGTTTTATTTCACCATTATTATAATTATTAACATCATTATTATTGTTGTTATCATTATCATTATCATTATTATATAATTTTTTTATTATTTTCATTATTATTATTCTCGTAATTATTATTAATGTTGTTGTTGTTATTATTATTATTATTATTATTATCATTATTATTATCATCATCATCATCATCATCATCATTATCATCATCATTATTATTATCATTATTATTATTATTATTATTATTATTATTATTATTATTATTATTATTATCATTATTATCATTATCATTATTATTGTTATCAATAATATTGTTAATATTATCATTATTGTTATCAATAATATTGTTAATATTATCATTATTGTTATCATATTATTATCGTTATTATCATTATTATTAGTACTAGTAGCACAAGTATTACTAGTATATAATGATAATGATAATATTAAGAATGACTTTAGTAACAGCAGCAGTGTGTGTATGTGTCTGTTTGGATGTGTTCGTGTCTGTAATAATGATAACACACACACACACGCGTGTGTCTATGTGTGTTTGAATGTATTCGTGTGTGTGTGTGTATGTTTAGATGCATTCATGTGTTTGTATGTATGTGTGTATGTGTATGTGTGTGTTCTCCCGGATGCCATACACGCGTGTGTCTGTGTGTGTTTGGATGTATTCGTGTGTGCGTGCGCAGGTGTTCGTGCGTGTGTGTATGTTTGGGTGCATTCATGTGTATGTATGTGTGTATGTGTGTGTGTGTGCGCGCGCGCGTGTGTGTTTGGATGTATTCCTGTATATGTGTTTGTGTGTGTGTGTGTGTCTGTGTGTGTGTGTGTGTAGGGTTCATTATGGATCTAATACATATCAGTAATGACATGCATTTTCCTTCTTACAATGTGTACGTGTGAGTTTTGCTAATCGTGTGTCTCGCATGCTGCCGGCGCGTATGGTAATTTTGCTTATCATGTCCCAGGCGAAGCATTTTCACGCTGTCTCTCTCTCCTCTTCTCTCTTTGGTTCTTATTTATCTCTCTCTTCGTTATGTTCTCTTTATACATATATATATATATATATATATATATATATATATATATATATATATATATATATATATATATACATATATACACATTCATAAATATATATATATATATATATATATATATATATATATATATATATATATATATATATATATATATGTATATATATATATATATATATATATATATATATATATATATATATATACATATACACACATTCATATATATATATATATATATATATATATATATATATATATATATATATATATATAAACATAGACACACATTCATATATATATATATATATATATATACATATAAATATATATTTACATATACACACATTCATAAATAAATGAATAAATAGATATATTATATATATATATATATATATATATATATATATATATATATATATATATATATATATATATATATATATATATATATATATATATATATATGTATATATATATATATATATATATATATATATATATACATTTATATATATATATATATTGAGTGTGTGTATATGTGTGTGTGATATATATATATGCCTGTGTGTGTGTGTGTGTGCATGTGAGTGTGCATAAATATTTGTGTTTGCGTGTGTATGTGTATATTATATTATTAGGATTATATTATACATGTATATACATAAGTGTATACGAATATGTATATATATGTATGTATGCATTAACATCCGTGTGTGTTCGCGCGTGCGTGTGTGCGTGCGCGTGCACGTGAGCCTGGGACGACGCCTCACGTCTCTCGCTTCTCTCAGAAATTCGGTGTCTCATTACCAGATGTCTTACAAGTGCACAGGGATCAGTTCCAGAGTTTATCCTACCTCTGGCAACTGA